CCAAACACTGTCAGACAAATTACTGGACGACCTGAAGGACTGTGAATTAAGATACCATGATATGGGAATCTAGGTTTGCTTCGTCCACGACGCAAACACATTATGGCGAGCCAAGGCTACTTCAGGGAAAATTTCAGTCGGGTGATGAAGCAGAGCCCGTTCATCGTATTCGTGATTACTGATGCAACGTTTGCGTCTTCTCTGATGTCCCTCGAAGAGAGCGTCAGCGAAGGAAGCAAAACTTAGGGGAATATCGCAAGCAAACCGACGGAAGATCGATCTTTGTCCATGGTGTTTTAGTAATCCAGTGTTCAGATAAATCGTAAGCCCAAGCTCATGACTTCAAACAGTGGCAATGCATCCGAGAAGCCCTCTCTTGTTCGTTATGATGTGATTGCCAACACAACGTCAAGATTATTCAAATCACCAAGATATACAGGATGTGCTCTAAAGGTGTTGAACGTTTTGAACCACTTCAAAAGAATGATTGAAAGAGCTTTCGAAATTTGATAAGTTTTACTCACTAAACTACGATCAGTTATACGTATAAAGGCGGTCGAAAAACGGCCTCCATTGGTTGTGGGAACCCAAAACCAAGGAGATTTTGTGGCGAGCCAAGCTGTTTGTATATATTAACTGGAATCCAGGGCATCACTCCAGCCGTTCGAAGAAGAAACTGGCAGTCTGTCGCAAGTCATTTTAAAGGGATTATTTAGTGAGTGCTTTGGTACCACGCGGTAAGACAGAAATACATCCAAAAATCGGTTGTCAGCCAACCCTACAAGGGTCGGTATAAAGTTGAGAGAAATCTTTGTATGTTCTGACACGATGCTGACATCCGTAGCTTACAATTGCTTGCACACAAGCGTACAATAAACTCTCAACAAAATGGTCTAACTATCATGTTGTCAAGCCTTGATCGCTTGGGACTTCATTAAAGCAACCGAGACATGGAAGAGAGATGGGATTATTGAAGCCGAGATCGCCCTGAGTGGTAGGCCCCTTTTGCGCAAGTGCCGTCCCACTATCGGAGGCGGTGTGGTTGTTTACTACCTTTCCGACCTACTCATAGACCGCATAAACGATCCGTGAGTTAATTCCAAAGACTCCTCATGGTGCCGCCTACACATAAGGCATGTGTGCTTAGCGCCCATTGCATACCCCCACCAGTGTCCACTTTAGAAATGGACCAGGTCTTATCTTTTGCTATGTAAAACCTACTGATACGATCTTACAGCCACGTTCTCCTGGTAGGGAACTTCAATATACACCCACAGAAACCCCGACCACTCTCGGTGCGCAATTCAAGGCGAAACTGCAAGAGTTAATCGCCGCAGCTGTGCAAGCATGTTATTTCCCCAACGCGTTTTAAGACAAGAAATAGCTCATCCATCTTGAACCACCTCCTCACCAACGATGTAAGGACAACGTGCACTGTTTCGGGCTGCAAAGATTATGAGAAATCAGTGTTCCGCCACATGTGTCACTCAGAATATCTTAAAGTACCGAGGAATCTCACATCCTAACCTAGTATGATAACTTGTCCGACCTCAGTGGTGCAATAAGCTGGTTTTTCCTAGACGATTGCTCCTCTGAGTTGGCCTGGGGTGGGAATTTTTAAACAGATTTCACAGTCTAGTGGTAAGCACATCAGAAACTAAAATTTTCCGATCGAAAAGATGAAGTCGTTCCTAAGGAGCAGGACTCGGAAAAGCATGACATTGTGAGACCGGGTAGGGCTCGCTCACATGGACTCTCTGAGAAAGAATACCTGCGATGCCTAAACAACACAAAGGAACCACTGTGTCAAACTCGTCCGAGAAGATAAAGTAAAGAACCAACAAGACCTTACGGTAAGATTTTGCTCCAACCCCAAGCTGCTAAACAGACATGCGGGAAACTTCTCAGAGTTAAGTGCGGCATTCCTGCTCTGCACACAACGTGTGGGTTAACGCAAACGGCACAAGAGGCGGCCAACGTTCTTAGGCAACTATCTGGCCGTAGCTTCCGAAGTGCACAATTAACTTTCATCCTGCCTGCGCAGATTATGTCTCTTCAGGGCCTAACCCCATATCATACACAGTCACATATGTGCCGAAGCGGTTGATGTGCTTGCGCGAATACAGACTGCCTGGTGCATACGAGATTCGCCCAAATTCGTTCAAAGTGGCTGTCATGTGTTTAGCTGGACCGTTAGCAATACCCTTACAACGAAAGCACCGAAATATAGTTCGCCACCATGTGTAAACGACAGCCGCGTAGAATCAGTAAATTATCTCCCCCCGATAACACTCATTCCGGTTATCTGCAAGACCATGGAGCCCATTGTTGCTGTGGCACGCATGAGGTACTTGGAGAGTAACAATATTCTCACTCCGGAGCAACATGCATTTCGCCGAAATCGGTACTGTACTATTAAGCTGTTGATATCTCGCACATGCTGCACGGTATATGTGGATGTGGATGAGGATGTAGATGAAAATGCCACCTGACTGGGTTTTCCGAATGCTTTAAACTGTCAGAGTCATCGTATTCAACTTCACAAGCTTCAGATGCATGTTCTAGGCGATCCCGAACTGGAATTGAAAGACAACTTTAACATTCAACTCCACACAAATAGGAGGCCTCGTAGCATGCTGTCGAAGTTCAGTGAGACGTACCTTAGGGCACTGTACACAATTTCTGCCTGTTCATGGTCTTCATAAACGATTTCACGAGGATGATATTTTCAAATTCTTACTATTTTTCAATGATCTAAAGACATGGCGTACTATCACTACAGTGGGGGATCACGCAGCCATACAAGACTATCTGGATAATGCGTACAAACGGTGCATCGAGAATCTGCTGCAGTTTAATGCCATTAATTGAAAAATTCTGAGCCTACGCCACTGACATACTCAGGACTGCCGGTTAGGGCCACAATTTACCCACCTGGCTTCTTAAGAGTGCCATTTCGGCTTGCTTGTTCAAGATGACCTCGGTTGTTTGAGGCAGAATAAAAAAAGCATCAAAGAAAACAAACCAGCACTTCGGCCTTCTTCGTAGAGCGTTTAGGAGGTTTGACGATTCAATCTTTTCGCAAATGTTTGGCGCGTACGTGAGAGCGCACACGAAATACGTTATTTAAGCGTGGCAACCCTGGCTGAAGCACCACCACACCAGGCTGGATACCGAACAACGCAGGGCGACAAGAAGGTTAGATGTTTCTCCCGCCTTCCCTAACCACTCAGGCTGAAAACCCTCAAAATATACAACGGACGTTATCGGATTTAAGGGGCGATCACATAATGGCGTACCAGATCCTGAGAAATTCCAACCACACATGCCACTATCTTTCGACACTAAGTCGAAGCACATCTCCAAGGAGTCATCAATTTTAGCTGGCAATGCAACACAGTCGACTGGAATGTCGACGAAACTTCTTCTTCTTCTGAGTGTTACAGCATTGGAACGCCGTCCCGACACATGTAATTAATGCTACTGCTTTGTCCCTTTTCAAAAAACGCCTTGAGGATAGTCTGACACACACTACGTAATATAGCCCATAACCATCAGATGATGGTATTAGTGAACAATAAACAATGGACGATGTCATAGTCCTCTTAAACTCCTTGCAGGAATACTCACACCTGTGTTGCTGCAAACCTGTTGGTGAGTCATTCTTTTTATTATTTTGACACTGTTTTATCCTGTACTTTTCACCTTAACCATCCTCCGGGACTTTGTTCCTATACCCGTTGCTCTAAGCATTCCTCGTCCTCAGATCCTCTTCCGGGAAAAGTAAAGGGCCAACAATGCTTAGCCAACAAGTGTGTGATCTCATGCTTTCACGTCATTTGGCCGATTGGACTTTACACGCCTTGTTGCAATATATTCTTTGGTGTACAAAAAGGGCGCAGTGTCGTAAAAGCGCATTAGGTATGCGCAAGGCTTAGCCGTCATTGGAATTGTTGCGGCACAAACAACTACACAGATTGAAAGGTGAGTCTTGTCCAAGACTCAGTGTCTAGTAGTAGCAATGTGCACTCGGTATTGTCTCCCCACACAGGAGCTCGAATGTCGCTTTTTGGAGCATTCACCATGTGTCATAGGTTGCGACACGCAATCATAATTGTAGCCTTGGTTGCCAAAATGATCAATGGGACCGTGACCGAAGTGGCGATCCTTTGCAAATAGCCATGTCAATGGCCGAAAGCCTAAGTATGCCAGCAGCGCGGATCCGAGAAGATTAGCCTCAATACAGGAGCATGGCTAGAAAACAGGTACAGTAAAGCTTGTCTTTTAACGAGAGTGAAATTTTGCGGTAACACTACGAAGATCTCAAGTTGGCTAAGCTGACCGTACTTCAGCCATAAGAAAGGACACATCCACTTTTAGGTAGACGCGTGAACCATCGGTTGTCAAGGATTGACCATCTATTGCTCTTCGGGTATTTAAAAATATCTTTGTTGTCTTGAGATCTGGGCCCAACTACATCCATATGCTTAAGAATGTTCTCATTTAAGACCTGTTTCCCGTTTAATTTATTAAAATGAAACGTGTCATTCTTATACATTACCCCCACCTTCGTCATTTGAATTACGCACAAAACGGTTCCCATAAGACGCAGTCCAATGTTGGTCGAATTGGATTTGCTTCAGGGTTCCTTCGACAAAATGCTTACCGAAATTGTAACTAGTTATCTGTATGCAGTGAGTAATGATGTCTCATAAGATTGCAGTGGGCTGAATTGTATACTTTATGCCCATGTTAATATGGGTAGACATTGACAAAATTGAGTGGCACTATTTCACGCAGAACTCCCCGCACATTATCTTTGATATTCAAAGTCGAACCTGCATGCATTCCAGCCGTTCTAAGACTAAATACGGGACACCTTTTTCTTGGGAATATAATGCAAAAAACCCCCGTAACGTGGATCGATGGACGTGTGGGATCTTTCCCATTGTGACCTTGAGCAATCATGTGGGATAAACAGCGCAAAAATAGGATCTTACCCTGGAGATCCCTTCTTCGGTTGCATCGACACGTTTATGCATTTGCACGGTTTGCCATAGGTCAGAAACCTGACGGGATTCGCTTGATTTGAAGGAGGATTTCTCCACATCCGAGGGGTTGTAGAACCTTCGCAGTAGCTCTTCATTACTGGGAAGAGAGTTTAACGCAGCCAACTGTGCCTCAACCGTGACTAGACGATCCTATGGGACAGACAAGAGGAAAGCTTGTGATAGATAAAACCCAAAGAGATGAAAACGCTAAACTGAACAATGAGGAACAAAAGAATACCAACTTTAAAGCTTTACTTTGTTTTCATTTTGAAGTTTGGCATTTCATAAACAGCACGTCATCCCTGAAAAGCTGAATGATAATGCAATGTGCGAGTTTGTGACTTCATCGATGCTGGGATTTCCGATGAAACAGAGGCAGATATTAATAGTATGCGAGGTACATAGGGAATTTTAAAACGTTTGCTCGTCATTACTGAGATTCATTATATCTATCTTGAAGGGGATGGAATAATAACCATAGGTACACAACTTAACAAAAGCCTAAAATGTCAGACTGAGCTATTTGCATTAAGGGCTCAGTGTAACTGTTTACGATGAACTGGAATTTGAAAATTTGTGTACCTTTTGTGTACGAAGTTCCGAAGAACTTGAAGGTCAGAAATGATAACACATGCTAAGTAAAAAGAAGTGTGAAACTCATTCTAAATGCTTTAACGTAACCAGAACTTTCGCTTATGCAATGAATTAGAACAAACTATTGCTGTGTGTCGCATAAAGGGGGTATTTCCTGTATCGGAAAGACCAGAGCTAAGTGTTTTACGTGCGGACACCAACTACCAGTTCTAGTTGACAAGCAAATGGTAATTTGTGTTATTTATGGCGAGAGAAATTACTTGAATCAGGTCTGAAATATGCTTTTATAACCGGTAAAATTACCATGCATTTCGCAAGTTGGATTTCGAGAACTTCCTCTGGATAACTGCACCTTCCACTAAACTGCAACCCGTCAAACATTTGTCTTACCACATGTTGTTCTCAAAGAGATGCTCCATGATTTCTCTCCAAACGCTTGCTGTTACCATGCTCACAGCCACACTGTTCAACTCAACCAGGAGTCTCACCACATACCTGAAGCGGACCCAGAACTCACACACACATGCCGGCTTGATAAGTGCCTCTACCCCAGAGGCACAGCCGCCCTTGTTGTTACATTTAACTCACCATTACCCCGAGACATCTTATTCTCACCATCCTTGAAGTTACCCTAATAAACCAACGCATTGTATCCCAATTCGGTGGCGCTCTGGGTCCCAGTAGAAGAGTCGTTGAATTATGCTAGCGTGCTCCGTGGTTAGTGATGTTGCTTTACAGTGGCAAGTATGGTGATTCGCATTTCCATGTGCGTTGTATGGACCAGGTTGTTTCTATGCTGGACAGGTATTGTTGAGGTATGTCCCCATCGCGTTTGGAGATTTATTTCAGTATTCCTGCAGTTAATTTCCGGCCTAAGACATTACGTCATTTCATAGCTTGCTTGAATATCAAGCCACAGACACAGCCGAAATTTCACTGGGCACGAAGTATACCTTTCGCCATCCGTCCGAAAGTAGAGTTAGAGTTGTGACGATTATAAAAATGGGATAGTTTCACCTGTACGCCGCTCTTCCTGCGCCTCACCCATCTTTCCAGCATAGAAGCCTGATGGCTTAGTTCGCATATGCGGCGACTATAAACAGATGGTTAATCAAAGGACTACGACGGAACATTAACCAATTTCACAGATAAAAATCCTTTACGTAAATTTTGTCGGGTGGAGAAAAGTTCTCCAAGTTGATCTAAGCCATGCTTATTCTCAAGTGAAGCTACAGGATTCCTCAGAATATATTGGTTGGCGGCATCCGGTTTCGGATTTGCCTGTCACTGTGGCCAGTCACAGGACGCCTGCGCCTACAGAGAGACCATGGGTGGCTTGCGCTGCACCGCACACAGCTCCATCCACACACACCCTATCCAGTGTAAACCCGAAGGAATAAGACCGGGAGGCGTGTGAATGAGAGCTACGTTTCATCAACGGAGCCGGTCCACACTCCTTCAGAGGCAAACACAAGCACGCTGCATTTTGGTAATGAAGCGCACATATGGCAGTGGCTCGACCGTAGTCCACTGCACACTGAGTGCATGGAACCGGTCTTCGAGCCTAGCACGACCACAAGGACCGTGCACCCCGTCCCCTCCAGCAACGACCAACTGTCTCCTGGAGCCAGTATGGACGAGGTAGTGGGTAATAGACAGGTAGGCACCTTGTCAACACGCACATCAAGCGCAGCCACACCGGGGATATCAAGCAACAGCCAATCACTTGAAACGACAAGAAGAAATAAAATAAATTATATTATGCATAGAGATGCTGCAATATATCTCTTCGCTAAATTAGCACATGAAATAAGTTGGTTAGCAACGAATCCGCGATAAGCAAAAATTGTCCACAAGTTAATTGAAAATGCTGCAAACGCAACAAAATTATCGAAGATAGCCGTGGAATAGAAGATTATTCAGGTAGGCAGAACCAATCAAACAAAGTGGAATGAAATTTCTCAAGCTTAAAAAGACTTAGTTTAGGTGTAAGTTGGTTTAGCCCAACTGTGGTGAGGAAGCATAATGTAACTATCATTAATACACACAGGGGACTATTCTGCTATAACCGATTACCATTCTGGATACACTCCGAGCCGGCGATCTTTCAGAGAAGTATAGGAAAGAGTGAAAGGCATACCCGGAGTTGACGCTTACTTGGACGGCGTTTTGGTTACTGGCCTTACCTAATACGAACATATGAGAGCACTTGCAACAGTGTTGAAATGCCTTCAAGAGAGCGGACTGAAAATCAAGGAATCTAAACCTGTCTTGTTTTGTGATATAGTTGAGTATCAGGGATTTCGTTTGGATAAACACGGGTTACATCACCTACTGGAAAAAATTCAACACGCTTTGGATTCTCCAACACCCCGCAATATTAACGAACTGCAATCAATGATTGGGATGGTAACCCATTACAATAGTTTATTATCCAATTTGGATAGTCTTCTCGCACCAGTGTATAGTTTACTTCGTAAGAATACCAGGTGGCAGTGGTCCAGTGAACAACAAAAATTTACGATGCTGTTAGCTTAGCGATTAGTTACGCTAACTTGTTAGTGCATTTGGACCCCGAAAGTCGATCACTCTTCGTTGCGATGCGTTATCCACAGAGCTCGGAGCCCTACGGTCACAACAAACGGAAGACATGACCGAGTGACCAATAGCTTTTGCGTCCAGAAGTTTGGTACTAGCGGAAAAGAACTATGCGCAGATGGACAGAGAAGATTTGGAGGTTATCTTGGGAGTTAAGAAATTCCACCGATATCTGTGGGGAAGAAAATTTGTAATCTTTACTCACCACAAGTCTTTGTTAACCCTGATTGGTTAACACAATGGCATAAACCAGGTGGCGTTACCTCGTGTGAAACGCTGCTTTCCGCTTCCACTTACAAAATCGCCTATGTCCCTTGGAAAGCAAATAGAATCGCAGATGCTCTGAGCCGTTTACGGTTGAATCATCTACCAGAATGTCTACTTAAACCTGTGCAGCTTGTCCATTTGCCTCGACATTTAGGCGCAAATCCAGTGTCAAATGCAAATATCCGTCAGGAAACTGAACGAGATACATTACTAGCCAAAGTCAGGCGACTAGTCTCTCAACGATGACCTGAAAGCTGTGAACCGCAACTACTGCCCTACTTTATTCGACGCACAGAGCTTAGTCTCGAGGACGGATGTTTGCTATGAGGATCTAGGGCGATTATACCACAACGGTGGTGACCGAATGTCTTACATTAACTTAAGGAAACGCACCCAGAAATCACGAGAATGAAGGCGCTTGCGAGATCTTATGTGTGGTGGTCTACTATTGACAGTGATATCGAACAGTTGATCCGACATTGCGAGGTATGTCAAAGCAATCAGAGGAATGCCCCTGCTTTACCACTTGGAATTTAGAAATAGCCCAGTAAACCGTGGGAAGGCATACACGCAGACTTCTTTGGCACATTAGATGGATAAATGTTTCTCCTTTTGATTGTTGCTTACTCGGTTTGGAGAGAAGTTTTTCCTCTTACACAAGCCACCCCTGAGACGACCGTTTCTTGTCTGCGGACGTGTTTCATTGCCTTCGGTATAACACGCACACGCTGGTAACAGACAACCGTTCCGTAGTTACTAAGCGGGAATTTCACGAGTTCTTCAAAAGCAACAGCATACATCATGTGAAATTGGCTCCTACTACATGGCTTCAAATGGTTGGGCTGAAAGAGCCGTCCAGATTGTCAAGAACGAGTTATGGAAACAACCTTCTGCTCCACTGCGAACAAAGTTGGACAAATTTCTTTTTGACCTCCGCACCACGACAAACGAAACTACTGGGAAGAGCTCAGACGAGCTGATGTGCAAATCGAGGTTGAGGACATGGCTGGATCTTCTGTTTCCTGACCAGAGGTCAGGAGTCGAGGCTAAGCAAGATAAATTCAAAGTAGAGTACGACCAGAAGGCTTCCGATAGAAGCTTCTGCGAACATGAAGTGGTCTACGGCAAGTTGCTCAACGAAACGACCTGGCAGCCTGAAGAGTTGCGCGAACTTGCGGGACCACATACGGAGGTGGCTTTAATTTAGGACAGAGTAGTTACTCGGCACAAGGACCACGTACACCATCGTTCCGTTGCAACTCCGCCACATAACACGTCCTCAAACCAACAAACTGAGTTGGCAAACACACAGAACTCAAAAATGGCCAACCGGGGCCGTTCAACTCGGCTACGGCGACCCGTCGACCGATCCCAAGCTAACAGGAGTGCTCCAAACTAAATTGAATAGGAATGTGGCATCCTCACGGATAATGTATTAAACCCTTTCTATTCGTTGCCTGCATCCGCTTGGCCTAGTTTAGAATAGTGGATCAATGCGTTGTACAACACGCCGGTTAGAATACAGTTTTGCCTTCCATTTGCCTGACGTGTTTTGATTTGTGATATTTCGGCTAAGAGCCAGTCACTGTGCATTAGTTCCGCAAATACTAAGCTGTGACGGTACCGCTGGCTGAAAGATGTTAAGACCATGAAACACATAGCTTCCATCATCTCGAGGTCCAAATATACTT